GCATTTCCTTCTTTATTCTACCTCATAGAATCCTTAGCTTCCCTCCAGGGTCCTATAAGATGGGATCTCCTAAAAGACCCTTTCTTGACCCCCCCCCCCAATTGTTTGTGCCCTCCTCTGCCCAAAATTTAACTACTTTGTATATATATAGTTTTTAATCTATGTGCATGTTGTTTCCACCCAAAAAGATTGTAAGTCCCTTGAGGCCAGGAATTTTGTTTGTTTATTTTTGGTTTTGGTTCCCCAGTGCCTGGGACAGTATACTGTGTATTAAGCATGTTAAGTATGCACAGATTATTAAATACATATACTAGCCACTTAATAAAATGAACTTACGAACAAGTCAATGAATGAAAGTTCTTCATTATGTATAACAGCTCATCATGTTGATTTCAAACTTAGGGAATTGATGAAACAGACCACAAAGTAATAAGCACACTTTATCTGAAGCCTAGCTCTCAGGGAATTCAGAATCCCTTGTTTCACTGTTTTCACCAGATCAGAACCCAGGCCATCTTGACAAGCCAAAACAGAAAACACTTTCATGGTATATGTGCCGTGTAGAGAGTTACTAGCTAGACTGTGGCTGAAACATGGTTCTGGTACTTGGGGTTGCCCCTATATATGCCTGACATATGCTGGAATATAGAACTGAAATGAAGAAACCAAGGCTGAGGACAGATAGCTACATTATTTGGAATAGGGATTGCCTTTTTTTCTATTCCAACCTAGTCTAATGTCCTCTTGACATCACTGCCTGTCTCTTCCTGCAGAGATGAGAAATGTATCTGTGAGAGGTAGGAGGGGAAAAAAACCCTGCGTATTTCTTGATAGTATTTTTCTCACATTTAAAAGTGGGATTTGGGGACCATATAGTAGGCACTAAATAAATGCTGGATTTGTTCAACTGAAGGTGAAGTGTATAAGTTTAATGAAAATCTATTTGTAAGAGAGTCATTTACATAGGAGTCATACGGATTGTGTATAATTTTAGGGTTGTGATCTCATTTATGGGAGGGAGTATATATGTCAGTGAGATCTATATGAAATAGATTTTCATAAGTCTTCCATATTAAAAAAACAGCAGTTTAAATAACCTCTATGTAAATTGAAGCTCATCCATTGCTCTTGTCTTCCTCTAACATTATGTAGAGGACAAACTATTAGTGAAATAATCTTCAAGCCATCCTCTTACTAAAGGGAATTGTTTCTGTTCCTGCCACATAGTTAAGTGGTTGAACTGCATGGCTCTTAGACCATTCTGTTAGTCTCATGGGGACTATATTCTTGTTACCTGGTTTTGGTTTCATACTTTTTTTTTTTCCTTCAGTTTTTCTCAGTTTGCACAAATACACTGGAAGATAGATATCAAAAATGGACTGCAGGCAGAAATGCCCTGATTTCTAGTAATATGTATTCACACACACACACACACACACACACACACACACGTGTGTGTGTGCATGTGTGTATATAAATGTGGTATGAGGGATATGGTAATATATAGAAATGCATAGTAGATCATTTTAGAATTCGGCATTAACTAAACATAGCCAAAGTTTTGGGAAATTTTGAGATAGCTATAGAGTTTAGTGATTTTTTGGGGGGTGTGTGGGATTTTTGTTTTGTTTTGAACGGTCACTAAAATTTTGTGACTGAAATACATATTTGAAAAAAAATTATTGCCATTTTAATTACAATTTTTATCACCTGAGGACCTCAAAGCATCATACAAAATAACTCAGTAGTCACATGATCAACAATGAAGAAACAAGCAAGATAATATAATTTCCTCCACTTTTAAGGTGGCAAAACGGAAGACAATAACTTTCATTTCTTTTTTAGCAGCAGAGCATATGGGCCATCCTTACTTTTTATGGCTGAAGACAAAAATAATGAATTCATTTCTGTTATATTAGAAGCATATTAAGTGATAGTTAAATGAGTAAATGAGTGACATTGTGCTATAGTATAGAAATGCCAAGGAAAACTGGAAGATTTCAGTTTGTGCATGTCGGAAATGCATTCCTTCTTCACCTGCACTTCCTAAACTACCTCTCTTCCTCTAGCTACAACTCAGGTGTGTCTCTTCCTACTTGAGACTTTTTTGTCCCACCAGCCAGCACTCTCTCCTTCTTGGAATGACTTTATAGTCATTTGTATTTACTTAACTTGTATACATGTTGTATCTGTCACCCTTGGTAAGTTCCCTGAAGAGGGTGTTTTGTTTTGTGTCTCCCTTGGAAAGAGATCTGGATTCGTATCCAGAAGACTTAAATTTGAAATTGGGCCCTTCCACTATTACCTATATGTCCTTACACAAACTCATGTATTTTTTTTTTGACATTCAGTTTTTTTATCTGTAAAATGAGAAAATTGGACAAGATGTCCATTCCAACTCTAAATCTCTGGCTCTTTGGTTTGAATTAATTTATGTTTTACCTGTATAGGTTACTTATTAATTATAGTGGATTCCCTCTGTTATTTCGTTGAGTGTGTCTGTGTGTGTCTGTGTGTGTAGAGAGAGTGTGTGTATGTGTAGATGTCTGTATACACAAACTTATCTATACGTATGTGTATATATACATACACAGAGATAGATAAATAGATAACTTGTTTGTACATAGTTTTTTACATGTCTCCCCCACCTGAGACTGTGAGTCAGAGAGTAGGAATTGTATTTTGCCTTCCTTTGTATCCCCAGCACTTATCATAGTGCCTAGTGCACAGTGTGTACTTAATAAATGTTTATTGACTGACTGATTTACATCCCATTGCTGAAATGTGTCATCAGGAAAGCCTGAAGCAATACTAGATGGAGCAGGCAAATTGAACTATTCAGTTCTTATAATAGTTGCCCATTATCAGTAGATAAATCAGTTGTGTGGCAATCTGTGTTGTTTGACTCCCAAGTTAAAATTAATGGGTTGGCTATGCCATGGTCCCTTCCTTTCACAGGCAAAATCTTGACCTGAACTGATCAGAGACAAGTTAAATAAGTGGTTATTTGTTTGTTTTTTCCCCTTTTACTTCCTTCTGATACAAAAAAAAAAATTGGCTACTGTTTTTTTTTTCCATTTCTTAAAGAAAAGCAGAAGCATTAAGATCTTAGTTGATGGTGTATATATTGAGTGTGACATTGTATATAATGTGATATTACTGAGAGAGCCCTTAAGATCAAAGTTTGACTACCCGCAATTTGAACAGAGGATAAAATACCACTCCCAGATCCTCAAGGTAAATGCTGAGTTTTCATCCCCCTTCTTTTTAAAACAACTACATAGCTCCTCCTAAATCATAGGTCAGATATTTCTTCCTCATTCCAACTATTCTGTCAGTTTTCCCAACAGTCTGGTAGGCTGAATTTATTGAACGTCAGTTCTTTTTTCCAGCCCTTTAAAGATAGTCATACAACAACGAGATAGACTCAGATGGACAGGGGAGGGAGGGGAGAGAGGGAGGAAGGGAGGGAGGAGAGGTATCTTCCACATTTACATCTCAATCAGATCATCCTAGGATTTGCAACAGTACATGTTAATCAATTATCTGGCATTACAGCCTAATCCTGTTTTTCTACTGATGCATTAAAATTAAACAGCCTTCAATTCAGGCTTGTATTTCATAGTTTCTGCTGTTTTCCCCCCAGAAAATAGTACAAATAATCTTTAAATAAAATGTGCTGTACTCCGCACCACTGACTTGAAAAGTTAAATGTCAAGTAGTCTTTTTTTTAATTCATAATAGAAATAGCTTGTCTCATGAGTCACAATATTAATATACCAAGGGAGTTTCCTACAAGCTGACCTAACTTGCTTTGAAGTTTGTATTTATATTTAAACTTTCTTGTACATTTTCTTTACCTCTATCTCCATTACCTCTAGTTTGCCCTGCGTAGACCTTGTGTGTGCAAAATTGTTGGCATGTTGCCTTGCAGTTAAAATGTGAATTCCTTGGGGGCAGGGGTTGTTCTTGCCTTTCTTTCTATCCTCAGCATTTTGCACATGGTGAAGTCTTAATAAAAGCTTGTTGACTTGACTCCTCACATGTATTTCACATCTACGTGCTGCCTATTATATGTAGCCGTGTTGTTATCTTCTCCAGCATGTCTAAAGCTAGAAAGGTTTCTGGAAATATGTTAAAATGATCAAAAACACAAATGTGTAAATCAAACAGCTATGAAGTTTTTTTGGTCATCATAGTTCACTCTGCTACTTACTAGACTTTATTAAAATAATATAGAGCAGTGGTGTCAAACCCTAATAGAAACAGGGGCCACTGTAGATCCCTACCAAACGTCTATTGACTTTACAACTAAGTAAAATGTGTTATTACCTATGTTTTGTTGTGTTTTTGTTTATTTTGTTAAGCATTTCCCATTTACATTCTAATTTGGTTCAGGTTCTACTTGGTTTGTTGTGGGCCACATGTTTGACATCTGATTATAGAGTATTGAAAAGATATTGGGTCATGGCACTAGGGACTGAGGCCATCAAATCCAACTTTTTTAGATAAGGAAACTGAGGCCCAGGGAGGTTACATAACTTGTCCCAGACCACATAGGTAAGGAAAAGGAAGCATCAGAGGTGGGCTCCATAGTCAGTGTGCTTTTCCCCACATCGTACCACCTTTCTAATAAGAGTAATATCAGTGTGTTTAGTGTACAACTTTCTCCTTTGGAGAGTTTCTATTTTTTTTTTTTTACTTTTTTTTCTATTTTTTAAATTAGTTAATTAATTGATTGATTTTTAGTTTTCAACATTCACTTCAACAAGATTTTGAGTTCCAAATCTTCTCCTCATCGGAGAGTTCCTATTTTAAAAGTAGGTCTTATGACATATCTTGAAGAAGAAGTATGTGCAATCCGTTGACCTTGGAAATTAAAGGAACACAGACCTCTAGTCTGTATGCCACTTTCACAGATGAAGAGCTTAAGCATTCACAGTGTTAGATTGTTGTGACGATTTTTCCCAATTTTTCACTACCTCATTTCTATCTTCCAGTTCAATTTCACCCTTCAGTATTGAGAGCACAAGACGCCAGAGACGGTCTGAGTCTCCAGACTCCAGGAAACGGCGTATCCACAGATGCGATTTTGAGGGATGCAACAAAGTGTATACGAAGAGTTCTCACTTGAAGGCCCATCGGAGGACGCACACAGGTCAGAACCTAATGGGAGTCACACACAGGAATTTGTTTTTGGAATTAGCACAAATGAGGACAGGCATAGCAGAATCTGAGACCAGAAAGTTTATGTGCAACGATGATACAATATACTCACACTAATGATGCAACTGCAATCTGTTTTAGTCATTCCTTCTCTGTGTTGAGAAAATGCTTTGGTTTTTTTAAGCAGAATTGGACAACTTATGAAGCATTTCATAAGAGCATTTAGAACTAACTCAAGAAATGACCTGAATTTCTTTTTTTTACCAATTAATTATTATGACGTTTATCATGATTATATCAACATTAATCAATATATGTTGAAAATAATTTTAAATTATTCTTAAATATCATCCCCATTGAACAACCCTTTTCTCACCTCCCAACTTAAAAAAACAAAACAAAACACTGTATGTTGTTACTAGCTTAAATGTACCTTCATGTGAGACCCTCACAATAGCTCTGCCAAACAGATGAACAGGGATAAGTAACCTCATTTCGTAGCCTAAGAAAATGATACATTAGTAATACAGTGGATTGGAAATAGTCACAAAGGCTTCTATAATTTTTCTTCACATTTTTCCAGAATTCTACTTTACTGACATTGTTTTCCTTTTCCTAACTTTCTTTTTTCTCTTTTTTGTTTTCGGTCCTTTGGTCCTTATCTTTGTGTTTACTTAGTCTCATTAGTTTGACTGCTAAGATCTCTCCTTCACTTTATCCTCCCCACCCCATACCTATGTATGCATTTCTACTTTGCATTTATGTGGTACAATAAAAAGAGTGTCAGATTTGAGTTAGTGGACCTGAATTTGAATCGTAGCTCTGTCTATGCAAGCTCTGTCACCTTGGACAAGTCACTTAACCTTTTGGGGCCCCAGTTCCTTCCTATTTAAAAAGCAGAGATTGTACTAAATGACTTCTAATGTAGTTTCTAATTCTAAATCTATGATCCACTAAAAGTATACTTTGTGAATCTAGGCATATGGTAATGAGATTATATTCCAAAGTTGTTGATCAGTTAAATCCTAGTCATTGGTTTTGGAGCCAAGAGATAGTGGTTTCCTCTTTGGTTATTATCCTAAACTCTGAATAGATGAAACATATCCTCAAATGCTATTTATTGTTAACATACGCACAAGGTATATAACATTCAGGGAAAACAAACAGGCTTTTTCCTTACCCATCCCCCAGAATGTCTTTTATAAGCTAAAACAGATTATGTCAACTTACATAAATGTCACTGGGCAGACAGATTGAGAAATATATAGTTTTGAGTGCATTCTATCTAGCAAGGACAAGTTTCACAATTCAGTGAATTCATATTTTCTACAGAGAAAAGTTTCCCATATTTTACTTTTTTTTTCCACATGTGCACTTTGTACAGAGCTTAATACCAAATGGGCTAGTGCATGAGAAAAGAAAATAATTAATTCACTTCTACCCAGTTTGAAAAGGTTTTGTTGAGGTCTATAGTGGTTTGGGTATGTGAATCTGTTACAGAAATTGTTTTGAATTACATTTTTGTCATCCAGAATATTACTTATCCATACTAGGTTTATATCACCAGCAGATTTGACAATCATACCTTCTTTATCCTCATCCAAACTGCTAATAAAAATGTTATTTAGGTAAATGTCAAGGGTCAGCCTCAGCAACAAGCTGCGAGGCACCTACTTTAGGACTGACGTCAATAACAATAATAGTGTCTCAATTTTATTTGATGCTGTAATAAAAAGTATTTTATACACAATATCTAATTTGATCCTTGCCACCTTAGTAGATAGTATTTAATATAATTCCACAAGCACTTATTAACAGTCATTGTATACCAGGTATTAGCCTAGGTTCTGGAGATACAAAAATAAAAATGTCCCCAATGAGTTTAACTACTTGAGGGGAAATAAAATCCATACAGATAATTAAATATGACCTATTTGCAAAGTAATTTCGGAACCATCAGGAAAGCACTCATGTAGAAGGTGGCAGGTGAGAGCTGAGCTTTGACGGAAGGTAAGTATTTTTTGAGAAATAAATGTAGAGGGAGAATATCCTGGGAATAAGGAGCAGTTTGTACAGAAAGTTGGGAGATGAAATGTCATATGTAAGAAACGGCAAATAGGCCAATTTGTCTAGAACCTAGAGGGCAAGAGAAGGAAATGTTAGAAATCAGTCTGAAAACATACTATTTCTAATCAATTTGCAAATGTTTATTAAGCACCTACTTTGTGTCTGGCACTGTGCTAAGCCTGGAGGATACAAGAACAAAAATGAAACAGTGCATCCCTATAAGAAGCTTACATACCTTTATACTGCATTCTTTCCTCCATTTTGCTTTGTACTTAGTCTTTATAGAGTCAGGCTTTGCCTCTTGTTAGGTTAAATGTGGAAAAAAAAAAGGAAAGGTACTCATTCTTTCCTCAGGTCCCATTCTTGGAATGTGGACATTACTGGTGTGGTCCAGACACTTTCTACCCACACTGGGCATGACCTACTCTGTGGTCACCACCCACTACTCCACTCCCACATAGTGATTTGTCTATGCCTTGTATACAGGATGCATTTTCTATGCATAGTAGGAAATAATGGAACCCACCTTCCTACCAGTAAGCAGTGACAGTGACTCCAATGACTTACTTTCACCTAGGACAAAAAGTACGCTTCAGGAATCATGCATTCTGCATCTTCCTCATATCTTGGTGTTCCTGAACCTGACAGCTTCAAGTCAAGAGGCTGTATTCCAGCCATAAAACTTCAACTCCCAGTATATGATTTCCACTGGTTAATTTCCAAATGAGAAAACTGAGAATTAAAGAAATTTAATAGAAAGATTTGGAGGCATTATAGGGGTAGCACTTAAGGTGCTGGTCCTTAGAAAAAGGAAACCTCAATTCACATACTGGCTGTATGACCCTGGGGAATTCACTTATCCTCTCAGGGATCTCTAACAACATTTTAAGACTCTTAAGTTGTGAAACAAGTGCTAATCTACATTGATGGAGAGAGTTTCATCATCTAGAGTTCCTTGTACCAATGAAATCATAAGCCAACCAAAATAAAAATAAAATCTCACATAATTGATCTTGTCAGAGATAAAATTTGAACCCAGGTCTCTGATTTAATATATAGTCCACTATCCCTCAAAATATACTTCAGGTAGAGTGTTTCAATGAGTTGCAAATTTACCTAACTATATCATTATACACCAGTATATCTCTTTTGTAAAAAGATACGAGACTTTGCAAAATGCCTTGCTGAAATCAAGGTATCATTTCTTCCTTCTTTCCTTCATTAAATGAATATATTGATCACATAATCAGTAATGTGCATTCTTCTGATCTCAATCCAGTGACCTTATAAAGAATGGAAATGAAATTGGCTTAATATGACTTGCCCTTAGGAAACCCATACAGGCTCTCTAGGATGAAGTACAAAGTTTCAGGGTGTAGCAGTCATTCAATTTCAATTCTATATGACTAAAACTATCTTTGTAAAGTCCCTGAGTTCAAATGTTCTGGATGTCGATGACATCATTAGCTATTTATTGGTATAAGTGCTAGTTTATATTAAATTTATTAAATATCTTCTTAGGCCTTGCCTTTGCTTAAAGCAGTTTGAACAGATTACTTATCTTTGATCAATAGTAATTAATGGCCTAGTTTCAGATAATGTTAAAATGAATTATGAAAGTCATGCATGCTACATGAGGTAAGCATATTTTAATAGGAGCCTTTCTTTTTAAATCACATTTTTCAAACATTTTAACGTTTCAGCACTTAATCTCTTTGTATATTATCAGTACCTCATCAGTCTCCTGTTTATTTGGGCAGGCTTTCAAATTTAAGGTGAATCAAACATGTTGGTAGGAATGTGAAAAGGAAGCTTTTTAAAAATAGATTTTTGCTGGGGAATTTTGAATTAACAAAAAAAAGTTAGAGATTGCAGTTCTTTTATATTTAAAAACAATAAATCATGTTTCATAGACATAGGGTATAGCAAGTTATGTTATGATTTGGCCACATAGCAAGTTATGTTTTGATTTGGCCACATTGTATGCATATAGTGGGAAATACTATGTATATTTTCTATAGCTGTTAAATTAACAATATTTTCTAGTCTGATTTGTGCATATTTCCCCTTTTTAAAAGGAAAAAATGATTTAGAACATTAATTTAAACCTTTTCCTATTTCCGGTGAATGCTACTTGTTTTTCTTGCTCTTAGCCTGTCAACCTAAGTGACTGAACTAAGGATTACATAATTGCTGAGATTTTAATTTTAGAAGGAAAAACTTCTAGGAGTGCTCTGTGGTCAATAGTGTGTTTTATTGGTAAGAAGGATGCCACCATAATTGTTTGTTTTAATACCTTTCCAAAGAAATCACATTCAGCCTTCAATAGCTGTAAAACCCACTAGATGGTGTACCAAAACAAGAGATTCAAGAAACCTGAGGCTGAGGTTAGGAAAACAGTGAAGCAGGGACCTCTGGTGGTCAAAATCGCATGGCATGAAAACACATTTTGAGTCATCGGAGATCATCGCAGCTTAAGGATGAGTAAATAAATAGGCAAGAAATAAAACAGAAAAATAGCAATTAGGAAATATGAAAATGTGAAGTCCTCAAAGATATTAAATCATCATATAGTACGAATTGCCATCGCAGTCTTATTAAGCATCTATGATAAATTAACATTAGGACTTCCTCAGGCTAGTTTAACCAATACAGTCTGATTTTTTGAGAGTTCTTTAATTGAAAACTGTACTCCTGTAGATTTTTGAAATGATTATCCTTTCAAAACTACACACTAGTAGCGCCATATTTAGCTGATATTGTCAACAGTGAGCTGACTGGGAAAGCACAATGTGGTATATTTGAAACGAGGATTTAGAAACTCTGGTTTTGAGTCCTGGCTCAGAAACTAGCTTTGTAACTATACACAAATCATGCATCTCTGAACCTCAGTTCCATCATCTGTAAAATGGGGATAATAATACT